GAGGTCTTCCATTGCAGCCCACGAATTCATAGCCAAGTGGCAGACAACACCCCTTTCAGCGAGAGCCAGGCGGCGCAGTCGTTCTTTGATGATATTGCGTCCTGGTGGAGCATCCCAAGGTGGCCGACTACGCCAACCCGGATGCTTTCACCTTCGAGAAGAAGGCCGGGTGCCGGAAAGGCCGATGCCTATCTGGAAGGCCACTTCGGCTGGGAGTTCAAGGGCAGCGATTCAGACCTTGACGATGCCCTGAACCAGCTCCTCAGGTACCAGGTCCACCTCAAGACCCCGCCGCTGCTCATCGTGTCCTCTTTCCAGACCATCCGCATCCAGACCAATTTCCCCGGTATGGCAACGGAGCAGCACGTCATACCGGTCGCCGCCCTCGGGCCAGAAGGAGCAACTCGACAAGCTGAGATGGGCCTTCCACGCCCCTGCCGAGTTCCGTCCCGATCGGACGCTGGATGAAGTCACAAGGGAGACCGCAAATCTCTTCTACTCCATCGTGCAGGACATGGAGCAGCACAGCGCCGACTCCGAAAAGCTCGCCCGCTACCTGAACCAGATCATGTTTTGCCTCTATGCCGAGGACGCCGGCCTGTTGCCCAACAGCCTTTTCACTCAGATCGTCCGCCAGCACTTTCACAATCCCAAGACTGTTCGACCAGGCGACGCAGAACCTGTTCGGTCAGATGGCCGGCGGCGGCCTCTTTGGAGCCGACCAAGTGGCCCACTTCAACGGCGACCTCTTCAGATCGGTCGACACCGTCGAGTTTCACGCTGACCGCCCTGTATTACCTCGAGCAGGCAACCCAGAAAGACTGGCGCAATATCGAGCCGTCCATCTTCGGCACCCTCTTCGAGCGCGCCCTCGACGCCTCCAAGCGCTCCCAGCTCGGCGCCCACTACACCGGCGCCGCCGACATCGAGCTTGTCGTCGAGCCCGTGGTGATGGACCCGCTCCGTCGTGAGTGGGACACCGCCCAGCAGGAGGTCAACACCCTCGCCGACTCCGGCAACGAGATCGCCGCCCGCACCCGCCTCGAGGCGTTCCAGTACCGTTTGGCCTCCGTGAAGGTTCTCGACCCCGCCTGCGGTAGCGGCAATTTCCTCTACACCGCCCTCCGTTCTCTGCTGGACCTGGAAAAGCGGGTCATCGATTTCAACGACGCTAGAAGCTGGGACGAAATGATCCCCAGGGTGCAACCCAACCAGATGCTGGGCCTCGAAATCAACCCCTACGCCACCGAGCTCGCCCGCACCGCACTGTGGATCGGCTACATCCAGTGGCACCTTTCCAATGGCGTCCACTACCGTCAGACACCCATCCTCACTCCCATGGACACCATCCAGCAGACCGACGCCATCCTCGACCTCTCCGACCCGGAGAGCCCCGCCGAGCCCGAATGGCCCGCCGCCGAGTTCATCATCGGCAACCCACCGTTCCTCGGCGGGAAACTACTCCGTAAGAACCTTGGCGACGAATACGTTGACGCCATGTTCTCCGCCTATAAGGACCACGTTCCCGCTGAAGCGGACATCGTTTGCTACTGGTTCGAAAACGCGCGGAAGATGCTGGAGAAAGGCAGAGCCAAACGCGCAGGTTTGCTTGCGACCCAGGGAATTCGGGGCGGTGCCAATCGCCGAGTCCTGCAACGCATCAAGGAGTCCGGTGACATATTCATGGCATGGTCAGACCAGCCTTGGATTCTTGACGGTGCGGCGGTTCACGTCTCCATCGTGGGATTCGACGAGGGCTCCGAATCTCAACGCGCAGTTGACGGAACGCCTGTGCAATCGATTAATGCCAACCTGACTATCGGTGCCGATTTAACCGCTGCACAACGGCTAAAGGACAATCTATCCACGGCCTTTATGGGCGATACCAAGGGTGGTCCTTTTGACATTCCCGGATCGCTCGCACAGGAAATGCTCAGCAACCCAAATCCTCATAACAAAACCAATGCCGAAGTTGTTAAGCCCTGGATCAATGGGCGGGACATCGCTGATCGTTCCCGCAATATGTGGATCATAGATTTCGGAGATATGACTGAGGAAGAAGCCGCACTATACGAGTCGCCATATGAACATGTGAAAACGAACGTCAAACCGGCTCGGATCAAGAATAAGCGTCCGCTTTACGCCAAGTACTGGTGGCATCATATGGAGCCTCGGCCCGGCTTGAGAATGGCTGTTAAGGATCTCACTAGGATTATAGTGACGCCAAGGGTTTCCAAGTATCGACTATTCGTTTTGGGTGACGCCAGAAACGTTGCCCGACAGTGCAACCATCGCAATCGCCAGCGACGACGATTACTTTTTCGGCGTCCTGCACTCCCGCGTTCACGAGCTTTGGGCACTGGCAATGGGAACCCAACTGGAAAGCCGCCCGCGCTACACTCCCACAACCTGCTTTGAGACTTTCCCATTCGCCGAACCCGACGACGCCCAGCGCGAGGCCATCGCAACCGCCGCCGCACGCCTTAACGAACTGCGCGAGGGTTGGCTGAACCCGCCCCGACGCAACGGAAGCCGAGCTGAAGAAGCGCACCCTCACCAACCTTTACAACCAGCGGCCCACCTGGCTCGCCAACGCCCACGCCACCCTTGACGCCGCAGTCGCCGACGCCTACGGCTGGCCCGCCGACCTCACCGACGCAGAAATCCTGGAGCGCCTGCTCGCCCTCAACCTGGCCAGGGCCGCCGCGGAAAACGAGTAGTGCTGTCCAACCCAAAAGAGAGGGGCGCCCCTCGGCGCCCCAGCACGTATCCAGCCTGTCAGCGACGGCTCTACCCCTGCGCGCCCGCTGCTTGCCCCAGCATCCGCAGCGTCCGGTCCACCGACGCCGCCGCGTCGTTCCCGGCGCTGATCGGCGACGCCAGCACCTCCGTCGCGCCCAGGTCGAACAGGCGCTGCACGCCTTCGGCGCACTTCTCCTCGTCGCCCCAGATCACCGCGCCGTCGATCATCCCGTCGCTCCAGGTGCCCTCGGTGGCCTCCGGGTAGCCCGCGTCCACCAGCATCCGCTGGTAGAAGGGCAGCCGTGGGTTCATCACCTGCGCCCGCACCGCCGACCGCACCTCGTCGGCGTTGTCGTGCACGCACACCGGCGCGTGGGCGATCAGCGGCGGAGTCTCCCGCCCCGGCCCGCTGCGCCCCGGCCTGCATCGCCGGCAGGGCCACGTCGCGCAGGTAGTTGAATGGGCAGATCCAGCTTATCGCGCCGTCCGACTCCGCGCCGCACAGCTCGAACGAACCCTTGCGGAGCGCCGAGCCCATGATCTCGATGTCCAGCGGCTCCGCGAGTCCGTCGTGGGCCGTGTAGTGCTCGCCGTCGAAGTCCACCCGCCCCTCCTGCATGATCGCCTTCAGGATCTGCAGGTACTCTTTCAGGTGCCCCAGCGGTGCGTTGAACTCGATGCCCATGGCCTCGATGGTGGGACGATGGCTCGGGCCCACGCCCAGCCGGAACCGACCCGGCGCCAGTTGCGCCACGATCTGCGCCTGCTGCACCATCACCAGCGGATGCCGCGGGTAGGTCGGCACGATCGACGTCCCCAGCTTGATCCGCTCCGTCAGCCCGGCCGTCGCCGCGAACGCGGTGATGCTGTCCGGACGCGCCCCGCCGTCGTCATCCACGCCGCGTGGATGCCCAGCTCCTCCGCCCGCAGGATCATCGCCTGTATCTCCCGGATCGTCGGACCGCTAACTGCAACTCCAACCTGCTTCTCAGCCATGGCTGCCCTCCTCTGAATGCGTCTGCTGACTACTCCCTATGCAGCCAAAGAAAAACACGCCCCAACAGGCGTGTCAAGCAACCGACGACGTCCAGGGGTTTGAATCAGGCCGGGCCTCGCCTCAACGGACATCCCATCCTGTATATCCTGTCCATCAATGTCAGCTAAACCAACTCGTGATCTGATTAATCACGGTTCAGACTCCTCCTCATCCTCGCCCACCGCACCGAGGAACACTTGCGTCAGGATGTCCGACTCGCGGATGTCGTCCGGCGTCCCCTCGAACACCACCCGCCCCTTGTCCAGCACGTACCCCCCGGTCGGCGATGCTCAGCACGCCCCGGATGTTGTGCTCGACGACCATGATCGTGGTGCCCAGCGAGTCGCTGATCTCCGACACTTTCTCGAACACCTCTTTCACGATGATCGGAGCCAGCCCCAGCGTCGGCTCGTCCAGCAGCAGGACGTCAGGGTTCGCCATCAGGCCGCGACCCAGCGCCAGCATCTGCTGCTGGCCGCCCGACATCTGGCTGCCCAGGTCGCGCCGCTTGTCGTACAGGACCGGAAACAGATCCATCACCGACTCCAGCCGGCGTTGCTTCTCCACGCGGTCGCCCAGGTGCAGGCATCCCATCTCCAGGTTCTCGGCGATGGTCAGGTGCGTGAACACCCGCCGGCCCTGCGGCACGAAGGAAATGCCCTCCCGCACGATCTCGTGTGTCGCCGCGTGGAGTGGCCGCTGCCGCCACCAGACCTGCCCATCCACCACCGGCGCCAGCCCCATGATCGCCTTGAGCACCGTCGACTTCCCCGCGCCGTTGGGTCCCATCACCGCCACCGTCTCCCGCGGCGCCACGCCCAGCGACACCTCGCTCAGCGCCGCCACCACGCCGTACCGCACCGACACATCGGTCAGCTCCAGCAGGCTGTCCTCCGGGATGTAGTGAGCGCTCGTCGTTGTCTCCATATCCTGCATCCTACCGTGCTGAACCTTGGGATGCCCTGCCGTGCCGCTCGGGCGCACACACCCCATTCATCACGCCCCCAGGTAGGCCTCGATCACTTCCTGCCTGCTCAACACCTCGTCGGGTTCGCCCTCACCCAGCAGCCTGCCGCTGTCAAGCACGATCAGGTGGTCCGACATCTCGCGCACAATGTCCATGTTGTGCGAAACGAAGATGATCTTGTACCCGTCCTCTCGCATTTGCTTCAGGATCGCGAGCACCCGGTCCAACATCCGGGGGAACAGCCCCGCGAACGGCTCGTCGAACAGGTAGGTCTGCACGTCCAGCGACATTGCCCGCCCGATCTCCAGCAGCTTCCGCTGCCCGTACGAAAGGTTCATCGCCAGCTCGCGCCGCTTGTCCCACAGGCCCACGGTCTCGAGGATGCTCTGCGCCCTCTGGCGGTGCGCCGGACGCACCCGCTCCAGCAGCGCAGGCAGAAGGCCCCGGGCCGTCAGCACCACCATGATGTTGTCCCACACCGTGATCTGCTCGAACAGCCGCACCTCCTGGAACGTCCGCGTGATGTTGTGCTCGGGGTTCTCGTACGCCTTGACCACCCTCAACCCCACCCCGTCGATGATGACCATCCCGCCGTCCAGGGGCAGCACGCCGCTCAGCAGGTTCACCAGCGTAGACTTCCCGGACCCGTTCGGCCCGACGATGCTGGTCATTCCCTCTTTGGGAATGGACAGCGACAACTCGTCAACCGCCCGCACTCCTGCGAACAGCTTGGTGATGTCTACCGTCTCGATGGATGGTTGCGCCCTTGCCTCGGCCGGATCTGCGCTCATAGCTTGAACCTGCCGACCAGCCCTTGCGGACGGAACAGCATCAGCAGCACCAGCATCACGCCCAGCACAACCAGCCGCGCCTGCCCCACGTATTCGACGGGCAGGAAGGGAATGAACCGCATCCCCTCTTCCAGCAGCACGAACGCCATCGCCCCCAGCAGCGACCCCCAGATCGTAGCCAGCCCGCCCAGGATCACAATGGCCACCAGCAGCATTGACTCCAGCAGGACGAAGGAGTTCGGGTCGACAAACGTGGTCCAACTCGAGAACAGTCCGCCCGCCAGTCCGGCCATCATCGCCGATATTGTCCACACCGCCAGCTTGTAGTGCGTCGCCCGGTAGCCGAACACCTCGATGGCCTGCTCGTCCTCCCGGATGGCCGTCAGTACCCTGCCGAACGAAGAGGTGACAATGAACCACGAGATTCCCAGCACGATCACCAGGAAACCTATCACCAGCCCGAGGAACTCCAGTTCCCCCGTCAGCACGTTCGACCCCACCGCGGGCCGGGCTATTTCAGTATCCCGAAGGCGCCCCGCGTAACGCTTCTCCAGTTGAGGAACACGTTGAACGAGATGATGGTGAACCCGAACGACACCAGCACGTAGATATCATCGCGGAACCGGTTGAACACCACTCCCACCACCACCGCCACCAACCCCGCCAGCACCACCCCCACCGGCAGGGCGGCAAAGAACGGCCAGCCGAACGTCGGGATGGCTTCGGTCCGCAACTGCTCGTAGGGCGCGTTCGACGTGAGAATGGCCACAGCGTAGGCGCCAATGCCGAAGAAGCCGATGTGCCCCACCGAAAGCAGACCGGTAAACCCCACCACCAGGTTCAGGCTGATGGCCAGTATGGCCCAGATGCCGAACACGGTGGCGATGGTAATGGCGAATCCCGCGCCCTGCCACAACATGAACCCGATGGCCCACGACAGGATCAGCAGGTTCGCCCACAACTCGATATTGCTGCGAACCATCGCCAGCAGCCCCTGCGGATCACGGGCCGCTCTCAACCGTTCTGCCAAGCCTCTTGCGTCTATCTGCATACCGCTACGTCTGTCCCGCTACTTCCCGAGCCCTATTTTCTGGCCCTATTTTCTGGGCAGGATGCCCCGAGGCCAGAAGGAGAGGAACAGGATGAGCAGCACAAAGGAAATTACGTCCTTCCACTCACCCGCCAGGTCCCAGATGCCGAACTGCTCGATCATTCCCAGCGCGAACCCGCCGACGATGGCCCCGTACAGGTTGCCCATACCGCCCACCACCGATGCGATCCACCCTTTCAGCAACAGGAGCAGCCCCATCCTCGGCTGTATCGCCGTGTCGTGCCCGCTCAGTATCCCGGCCATGGCGGCAAACATCGCTCCGATGAAGAACACCGCCGCGATGATCACGGTGGTGTTGATCCCCACCACCTTCGACACTTCTTCGTCGTCCCCAATGGCCCGCACGGCCTTGCCGAACGTCGTCATCCGCAGCAACAGGAGCAGCCCCACGAACCCTGCCAGCGCCACCCCGATGGTGAACACGTTGAAGCCCTTGATGTTGGCCCCGCCCACCGTCCACGGCGAACTTCCGAATGCGTCCGGGAGCGGACGGGGCGCGCTCTGGAAAACGATGGTCGTTGCGGCGGTGATTGCCAGCAGTACCCCCAGCGAGGCCACCAGCATGACCAGCGGCGACCGGGAACGCTGGCGCATGTAGAAGTACAGCCCGCGGTACAGCGCGAGGCCCACGATACCGGCCAGAAGGCACGATACCGCCCAGCTCAGGAACAGCTTCGAACCGGGCTCGCCCGACACCAGGAACCCGCACCAAGCCCCCAGTACACCGGTAAGGACGCCGGAGATGACAAGCCACGCCGTCGAGCTTGCGACGCCGGTTGCTTTTTCGTAGATCCGCCGCACCGCCCAAAACGATAGCACGGCAACCGCCATGCCCACCGCCGGAGCAAATAGCACGTTCAGATTGCCCGGAAACGTGAGCACAAAGCCCATGTAGGCGCCTGCGCCACCTCCCAGCAATCCGATCCCGGTAAGAGGCACTACCGGCCCGAATCGTGCCATCTCAGTCGAGTGTAGGCGCTCGTGTGCAGCGCCCACGCCACCACCCCTGCCGTTAACACAGCGAAGCCGACGTTCACCGCCGCCTCGTTGACCTCGTAGCGTCCGCCCAGCGTCTCCGACGACCTCATGTAAAAGACGCTGTACGCCCCGATGGCTGCCGCCGCCCCGTAATACAGGTCGAAGAACCACACCGTGCTGTAGACCATCGTGAAGCCCATGGCCAGCAGGGCATAGACCGCCCCGACGGACAGGCCGTTGAAGGCGAACTGCAGCGACTGGGTGGGAGACTCGCTGATCTTCCAGCCCAAGTAGGCCACGGCGACCAGGGTCAGGATGATGGCCAGCACCCGGGCCGCATTGAGTTTGGATAATGAAGTGAGGCGGCTTTCGCCGGCGGACTGACCAAACAAAACGTTACTCGCGAAACGATTTCAGGTCACAAGGCGTTCAGATAATACCACAGCGCCCGTTTGCCAATCCCAAGAGCAAGGGGCCGGTCTCATCAATTCAGACCGGCCCCAGTTCGTTTACCCTCAATCGCGGCTGAAATCTATGGAGTGGGCGCGGGACCCAATCGCCGCTTGCCCAGATTCTCATCCGTTCGCTCGGCTACGGGAAGCACCTCGACGACCACGTTGGACAGTCCTGCAACGTCCCCGTATTCGTCAAAGCTGTAATTGTCCCCGATGGCGCCGCTGAAGGTCAGGTTACTCAGGCAATCGCGGAAACCGTCGGCATCCTGGTCGTCGCCCGTCTGCCTCAGGCATTCGGCTGCGATGTATACGTCATCATACGCCGACCCCTGGAACCACCGCAGTGGCGCTACGTTGCCGAACCGCGCCTCGAAATTGGCCAGGAAGTCCTTGCCCGTGTTCGTCTGCAGGTCCTCGTCAGGAACCACGGCCTTCAGCCCTGTCGCTGCGTCTCCGGCGATGTCCAGGGAGTCAGGTTGGGTGGGGACGACCTCAGAGTACATGGGGCCCGTGTAGCCCAGTTCCCGCGCCTGCTTCAAGATGGTGCCGCCGGACCCTCGCCTTGGGCCGCAAGGAGAATCGCGTCCGGATTCTCGTTAATCAGCTTGGTCAATTGACTGCGAAAGTCTATGGTGTCCGTGGCGTAGGCTTCCGCCGCCGCCACCGTTCCGCCCAGCTCCTCGAACCGCGCCACCGAAGTGCGCCGCGCGCCCTCGGCGTAGTCCGTGGATTCGGTTATCGTCGCCAGCTTGCGCACACCGTCCACCCACAGGGTGTTGCCTATGTCGATGCCCAGCTGCAGGTCATTGATGGCCGTGCGGAAGATGTAGTCGCCCGCGTTGGCGATGTCCGGGCTGGTGGCCGATGCCGAGAGAAGGATGACCCCTTCCTGCTCCGCAATAGGAGCCGCCCCCAGCATCGCCCCGCTGCAGGTGGTGCCCAGGATGATCTTCACGCCGTCCACGTCGGTCAGCTTGTTGTACGCAGTGATGGCGTCAGCAGCGGCGCACTTGGAGTCTTCGAAGACGATTTCCAGCATCCGCCCGTTGATCCCGCCCGCGGCGTTGATTTCCTCAACCGCCAGAAGCTTGGCCTGCTGGATCGGATTGCCGTAGGACTCCGCCACGCCTGTCAGGGCATCCATCGCGCCAATCACGAACGGCTCGTCCGAGACCGGGGCAGCGGCGCCCATGGCCATTGCCTCGCTGGGAGCCGGGCCCATCACCCGGTAGCCCTGGTTGTCGTCGTTCCGCTCGCCGGTGGGAAGCACCTCGATGACCACGTTGGACAGGCCCACAACCTCGCCGTTCCCGTCGAAGCTGTAATTGTCGCCGATGGCTCCGCTCCAAGAGATGTCATAGAGGCAGTCGCGGAAGCCGTCGGCGTCCTGGTCGTCATTGGTCTGCTTGAGACACTCGGCTGTGATGTAAACGTCGTCGTACGCCGAGCCCACGTACCAGGCCAGCGTCAGGTAGTCGTAACGTTCGCGGAAGTTGGTCAGGACCTCCTGACCCTTGGCATTGGCCGGGTCGATGTCGGCCAGAATGGCCTTGACGCCGGTGGCGGCGTCCCCGGCAATCTCCAGGGCAGTGGTCCCTACCGGAACGATCTCAGAGTAGATTGGGCCGTCGTAACCGAGTTCCCGGAGCTGCTTGATGATGGTGCCGCCGGTGAACTCGGACTGCGATGCAATGTGCAGTGCGTCCGGGTTGGCGCCAACCAGCTTGGTCAGTTGCGTCCTGAAGTCGGTGATGTCAGAGGCGTATCGTTCCTCGGCCACCACTCTCCCGCCCAGCTTCTCGAACTGCGCCACCGAAGTCCGGCGGACGCCCTCGGCGTAGTCCGTGGCCTCGGTGATGGTGGAGATGGTGCGGGCGCCGTCGGCCCACATCACGTTGCCGGTGTCGATGCCCACCTGCTGGTCGCTCATCGCCGTGCGGAAGATGTAGTCCCCCGCGTTGGCGATGTCCGGGTTCGTGGCCAGTCCGGAGAACAGCACCACGCCGTCCGCCTCGGCCAGCGGGGCCGCTCCCAGCATCGCGCCGCTGCACGAGGTGCCCAGGATGATCTTCACCCCGTCCACGTCCGTCAGCTTGTTATAGGCGGTGATGGCGTCCTGGGCGGCGCACTTTGAGTCCTCGACGACGAGCTTCAGCTCACGCCCGTTGATGCCGCCCGCTGCGTTGATTTCGTCTACCGCCATCTCCTTGGCCTGGACCGACACGTTGCCGTAGGTCTCGCCGGGGCCGGTGATGGACTCCATCACGCCGATGACGAAGAGATCGTCGGAACTGGGCTGCATGGCCGTCGGTGCCGGCTGGTCCGTCGTTGCGGGCTCCGTCGTTGCCTCCTCGTCCCCACCACAGGCCACAGCCAGCAACAGCACAGGAACGATCAACAGAAGAGTCAGTAATATCAGTCTCCACGATGTGGGTTGCACAGTTCACCCCCCGGTTTTGTCAACATAATTGGCGAGGACAATAAAAATATAATAAATCAGTGGCCGCCATAAGTTCAATGCGAATGTGCCATTGGCACGTCGAAAATCGTTAGGATTGCCCAAAAAAACTGAAGTGCCGCAGAACATCCCATGGGACGCGTCTCAATCCGCTATACTTCGGCCCACCAAATCGGATACGGGAGCGCGCACCAGATGCCGGAGCAGGAACTCAGGCCGGTTGCCCCAGACGAGTTTCTCCAGTGGTTGCGGGCCGAGTCGCGGGCCCACAGCAACCGCTTGGATCACGACCCAGAGGATCTGCGTCCGCATTTTGACCTCTCCCGTTCCCTCGCCGTATTCGAGGGCAGCAACATCATCGGCGGCTGCCAGTGCCACGAGCTTGAGATGTCCATCCCCGGCGGCACCTCGGCGGTCGGCGGCGTTTCCAATGTCGCCGTGCAGCCCACCCACACCCGGCAGGGCGTGATGTCCCGGATGATGCGCCGCCAGTTCGACGACATGCACGAGTGGGGCGAGCCTCTGGCCGCCCTCTTCGCCTCTGAGGGAGCAATCTACGGGCGCTTCGGCTACGGCGTGGGCACCCAGTTCGAAAGCTGGCGCATCGAGCGGCCTTACAACTCCTACGCCCGCAAGATCGAGACCCCCGGCCGCATCGTCTTCGTCGACCCCGACGACATCATCCGCGACCTCCCCGAGGTATACCGCCGCAGCAGCGCCGGCCGCCCGGGTGTCTTCCCCAAGCCTCCGCACAAGTGGGATGAGGAGTCCCGCGCCCCGGATGCCCGCGATCCCCAGCCCCGCGTCAGGGGCCGCGGCCGTGGCGGCCTGTTCTACGCCGCCTACGAGGGAAACGGCAACATCGACGGGTACGTTTCCTACCGCTCCAACCGTCCGACCATCACCGTCAACGAATTGATGGCGGTTACCAGGGAAGCCTACGCCGCCCTTTGGCGCTTCTGCTTTGACATCGACCTGATGGGCGTTACCGAGGCCATCAAGCGCCCCCTCGACGACCCGCTCCCCTGGATGCTGGTCGACCCCCGCCGCCTGCAGCGCACCATCCGCGACGGTGTGTGGATCCGCGTCGTTGACGCCGCTGCCGCCTTGGCCCAGCGCCGCTACGCCGAGCCGGGGTCGCTGACCCTGGAAGTCCGCGACACCCTCTGCTCCTGGAACAACGGTTGTTTCAAGCTGGAGGGCGACCCCGAAGGCGCCAGTTGTACCGCGGCTGCCGGATCCCCCGACATAACCATCGACATCGCAGCCCTCGCGTCCGTCTATCTCGGGACCGTCAGCTTTTCCAGCATGCACGCGGCGGGCCTCGCCGACGAGCACACCGCCCACGCCCTTCGCCGCGCCGACCGCATGTTTGCCGTCCCCCTCCAGCCCTGGACCCCCTTCAACTTCTGAGGGACCGCTAGCCTCGCCATCTGGGGATGCGCCAGGGCTGTGAGCTTCAGGCGCTCCGGCGTTTTGACGAAACCCCTCAGCCAGGGAGCTTGGGCGGATTCACCAACCGGTGATTGAAGATCCTTCTCAGCTCGGCGGCCACGTACAGCCAGTTGACCAATCGGCCGCCCGGGACACGGTATTCGACCTCGTCGATTACCAGCGTGCCTTCGGGAACCTCCTCGAAAATGTGGCTGTGGACCCACTGACTGTAGGGGCCTCTCCTCTGCGTGTCCTGGAACCGGAAGGGTGGGTCCCATTGCGTGATTTCGCTGTCCCACCTGATGGGTATGCCGTGTACCCGGATGCGGTACTGAATGAGAGTTCCGGTTTTCATTTCTATCGGTGGCGGGGTCAGGATGGAAAATCGCACCCACGGAGGGGTTAGGAAGTTCAGGTTCTCCGCCTGAGAGAAGAACTCGAAGACCTGCTCCCGGGGGTGTTGTAGTATTACTTGCGAATTGAAGCGAAAATCCCGCATGCAGCCATAATATCCTGTATCGGAAATCCCGCCACCCGCATAATCCGTCGAATCCAGGTCCCAAGAAGAGGCAAATGGAAATCGAAGTAGAACTCAGCCCCGTGGTCTCCATCGACGAACTGCTCAGTCTCGCCCGCATCGTAGATGGTACAGGCGTGAACCGGCTGGGCATATCCGATGTTGCCCTGCTCCGGGACTCGTATCAGCTTCAGGCCCTGTGTGCTTCGGTGACTACCAATGTCAGCATCGGGAGTCTGGTCACCAACCCCTACGTTCGGCATCCCGCCATCGTCGCCGCGGCTCTTGGAACTCTGAACGAAGTCTCCCACGGCCGCGCCTACATGGGCATTGGCGTGGGCTCCGGCCTGACCCGCATTGGCATCGATCAGTCAGGTCCCGTCCGTCGGCTTGAGGAATTCATCAACGCCGTAAAAGAACTCCTGTCCGGCGGACGGGTCAACCTGAACGGCCAGGCCTACCGGATAAACGGCGCGGGGTTGCAGGCAGACATAGCCAGCCCCGTCCCGGTAATCATCGGCACCCGCAGCAGGCAGATCTGCAGGCTGGCCGGTCGGGTTGCTGACGGCGTGGTGGTCGGTGCCCGGGAGCTGCCGGAAAGCGCCCTCATGCGCTACCAGGACTGGGTGAGGGAGGGAGCAGAGGAAGCAGGCCGCGACCCCGGCGAGGTGGACATCGCTCCCCGAATGACCGTCTGCATATCCCACGACGGCGAGCAGGCCCGCCGAAGCGTGGTCCTCTACGCCGCCCACTACCTTTCACTGGGAGGGCTGGAGGCATCCCGTCTGCCCGCCGCCGAGTTCGAGCGCATCAGCAGCCTCGTGGCCCAGGCCACGGCCTGGTATTTCGAGGCCGATGTTTCCTATCCCAGCGAACTCGACGACATTGTCGGCCCCGAAATCATCGACCGCTTCGCCATCGCCGGCACCCCAACCGAGTGCCTGCCCAAGCTGCGGAGCCTCGGCGAAATGGGCTTCCGCACCGTCAGCATTGGCCTCGCCGCCGTAAGGCGTCCCGACACCACAATGTACGATGGCCTGAAGGAATCCCTGCAGGGCCTCGCCGAGATCATCCCCCAAATCCGCGCCCTGTAGACGCTCATTAAATGCGAGTGGCTGTCGAAGCACTGCCGAAACCCGGAATCCGAGCGGGTCGATCGCAGCACCCTACCACCTATCCCTTGCCAGTCTCCCACGCCACGATGCACGGCCGCGCCGGCTGCGACCCCTTGATCTGCCACGTCCCGTCCACCTCGACCAGCGACTCCTCCAGCGCCCCGTCCAGCCGTTCCATCTCCTCGGTATCCGGCTTCACATAAAGCCGCCGTGTCAGCATCTCCCTGGCCTCTTTGAAGCTCTCGAACCCGTGCTGTGGCCGCGCATCCAGCTCCGATGCCTCTGCCCGAATCCCCAGCTCCTCCAGCACTGGAAGGAACTCCGGCAGGCAGGGCAGGCGAAGACGCTCCTCGCCGTGGACCTTTTCCCACAAACCAGACATCTGCGCTTGGGGCGGAGACTGGAACACCACGCACAGCACCAACCGCTGGGGCGTGGCTCTCCATCTTCCGTACGAACGGCTCTATCTCCTGGATGACATAAACCACGTGGCTGCACAGCACCACGCCAGCGGGCTCAACGGAGGCCTCCTCCCAGCCCGCCTGGGTCACCGACACGTTCTGGATGGCGAACTCCGCAGCGGTTTCCCGCAGCACGTTGCCCATGCTTGGCGATGGCTCGACCGCATACACCCAGCGGCAGACCAGGGCTAACGGCAGCGCCAGCCGCCCGCCTCCAGCCCCCACATCTATCACCGTATCCTCGGGCCGCACGCGCCCCTTCAGGTGGTCCAGCATCTCGTCGCCGGTGCGATGAGGGTCATCTTTGAACAGCGGTGCATACTGCGTCCAGTGGTCGGTCGGACGCGGCCCGCGAATCCGGTCCGTCTGCGCGTGTTCCCGGATGATCATCTGCCGCCAGTGGTCAACAGCGCTCATAAAAGCCTCTTGTGTCTGGAATGTTGGACCGGGTAGTTCTAGCGATACCGGTTGTCCGGCGTCCGCCACCGCATGCGCGCCCCGATGTTCTCGAACCCCGCCCCGCTCGTAGAACTCGATCTGCCGGTCGCCGTTGCGCGGCGTACCCAGCTCCACCACCTCGCAGCCGCTGGCCATCGCATGCTGCAGGGCGAAGTCGACGACCGCCGCGCCCACTCCCGAGCTGCGTGATTCCGGCTCCACGAACATCTCCTGCAGTATGCAGTACTTGCCGGCCGTGCGAATCGCGTACAGGAACGACGCCGTGCAGACAGCCTTGGCCTTGCCGTCCTCCTCCGCAATCACCGCGAACCCTGCTCCATTTTCGGCCACAAGCGCATCGAACACGCCGTAGAGATCCTCCGCCGGCGCCGGATTGCCGCCCAACTCGATCAGCAGCCCTCTCACCAGCCGCAGCACTTCGTCCAGGTCCGCTGGAGTGGCGAGTCTGACGTTCAACACGTCTGCATCCTCCCACACAGCTTTGATTCCGCCAAAAAACGATGCCCGATGGATATTATATCCTCGTCCGTAACTATCAGCGGAGTTTAGGCTCGACAGTGTGCAATACTTTAAGCATGGCCGGAATACTGACAGTCCTGATTGTACTCATGACCGCCCTCGGCACTGCTTGTGGCAGCGGCACACCCACGCCAACCTCAGCGGTGTCCGCACCTTCCACACCCAGCGCGCCAAGTCTGAAATCCCTGCGGTTGGAGCGAGTGCATATCCCCCTCGAGTTGCAGTCTCCGACCAACATGATCCAGGCAGCTGCCGGCCATCTGCTGGTTTCCGAGCAGTCAGGCCGTCTCTGGGTCTTCGAGGAGGAGAACCTGGCCGCCGAGCACGTCTTCATTCGCGAACCCCTCGACATTCGCGATCAGGTGAACAGCCGCGGCTCCGAGGAGGGCCTGCTGGGCCTAACCCTCGACCCTGCTGACAACTTGCACGTTTACCTTTACTATTCGGCGGCCAACCCCCGACGCTCCGTGGTTTCCAGGTTCGACTACCACTGGGGCAGTGGCGAGGTAGACGCCGACACCGAGCTGGTCATCCTCGAGGTCGAGCAGCCCTACCAGAACCACAACGGCGGGCAGATAGCCTTCGGCCCCGACGGCTATCTCTACATCGGCCTCGGCGACGGCGGAGCGGCCGGCGACCCCTTGGGCAGCGGCCAGGACACCTCAACGCTCCTCGGCTCCATCCTCCGCATCGGCGTCTCCGAGTCCACCCCGCAGCAGCCCTACGTCATCCCGCCCGACAACCCCTTCGTCAACGGCGGCGGCCGCCCCGAGATATGGGCCTACGGTCTGCGCAATCCCTGGCGATTCTCCTTCGACCGCGAGACCGGCGAACTCTGGGCCGGCGACGTCGGCCAGAACGAGTGGGAGGAAATCGACATAATCGAAAACGCGCGGCAACTACGGCTGGAACATCCTAGAGGGCAACCACTGCTTACGCCCCGCGACAACTGCAACCGCGATGGCACCATCCCGCCAGTCTGGGAATACTCCCTGGACGGCCAACCCTGCTCCGTAATAGGAGGCTACGTCTACCGAGGCAACGCCATCCCATGGCTCCGCGGAGCCTACATCTACGGCGACTTCTGCTCCGGCAAAATCCACGGCCTCCGCCACCAGAACGGCCAAGTCACCGAGCACAAGGAGCTAGCCGACACCAGCCTGCGCATAACGTCCTTCGCCGAAGACAACAGCGGCGAGCTGTACCTGCAATCGCAGAGCAAGGGGGTGTACCGGTTGGTGGCGGGGCGATAAGACCGGACAATCGTGTGCGAAGTAATGTATGAACGCACCCTCACAGATTCAGAGGGTAAACAGTGGAGCGGTTCAATTTTATCCGCTACGGTATTGCGTTATGCCTGCTAAAGCGGCCGTTTACAGAAACAGTAAATACTGCGCCACTCGATCTTCCACTCTGAGAAACTATCTCGGGCCACACTTTAACGATATTCCAAGCCCGATCCCAAAAGCCAATATTCCCCCAACCTTTGGCGAAAATGAACCATGTGAATCCACTCCCCTGTACGGCATCCTTCTCATGCCTCATTCGATCCATTGTGAGGATTACCCAATCTTGATGGGAATCCATAAGAACCTTGATCCAATGTTCGTCTGGAGTTCCCCTGAATCCGCAGTCTGCCGTGGAACCGATTTGATCCCCCGGATGACTGGGGGTATGTAGGGAGCGTATAGCTCTCGCTATTGACGGGGCAAAGTTTTCGTCAAAAAAGTAATTCACACGTTATTGGCTGCGTTTCGGACAATCAGTTCTTCTTCAAATGAGATGGCATTCTGCACTGACGTTAGCGGGATTTCATAGTTCGCTGCGACAGAGAGAAGATTTTTTTCTTCGGCCTTGTAGCTCAAATACAGTACTTCGGTTGGAATATTGTAATTAACAATTACCGGTGTGCCAAAGGCTATCCTAGGGTCCACCATCACTCCTTTCCCGACATCGGCTACACTCCATTCTTGAGCCGGATACCAACATACCGGCTCATTGTTCCAGTAGTCTACCGGGTCAAAGAGGTAGTCGCTCAAAAGTTGCTTGAAGGCCATTTGCCCCTGTAAGGACACTTGCTCCAATTCAACACCAGCGTCAGAAAAAATGTGGACTCCATCAGTCTTGAATCGCAAATCCGAAAAAGGGTAATTGGACTCAAATCGTTCCTTCGCATATCTCGCAGTCCTGACTATGCGCTGCCAAGTTACCCCTGCAGAATTAAAGGATGCGATGTGCCTAATCTCAATCAGGTCTCGAAATGTAAGGAATGCACCTCTGGATAGCTCTTGAAATTCACCTCCCCAGAGGCCGTAGCTGCCTTTATAGGATTTTACGAAGCGTCGGCTGATGCTTTCCGGGACCCCCGAAAGTCGACGGACCTCTCCGACCGAGTAAAATCCACCTGTCAGGCGATCGAGAACTTCAT